TATCTTCATCAGAGACCATCCGAATTTACACAGGAGAACCTACATTCAAGCTATCTTTGAGGGAACAATATCGCGCTGCATTAGGAAGAGAAAACATTTCCCCCTCAAGTAAATGTTTCATAATGACTACATTAGAATCTTCTTTTTTTACCTCATAAACCGGGTACGATGACGAGCAATAACAAGTAACATTGTATGATTAAAATAATCCTGTTTTATTACCGGAAGTGACTACAATAATTCTGAACTTAGATTGTATTCATTAGACGTCACCTTTAGGCACAATTTCCAGTTAATTCAGTCGACTACGTACATAGAAAGCACCAGATTCGATTAGTGCTCTCATCTAATCCCATCAGTAGTGCATATTCATCGTAAAGCTTGTTTCTCGAACTCCAGACTCGTCACATGGAAGGCAGGTTTGTGACTACTGTGCCAACAATCTGACATCGAGGCTGAACTGAAATGCAAATTCATATTTGTTCGGATATCGTCTCCAGACATGGTCAACCATTTTATTTTGACCCAACAACAACAACAAAAAAGAAGACATACTATGTTAACTGTTAACTCCAATTGAAAGCCAGCCAAAGAGTTAGGTTAGATTTTACTGAAATATCCTGTCAGCTAATGAAACTCTATGAAGACATTCGTGGAAAGTAGAATAAAATGAGAGAAAAAAATGGAATCAGTGTCACCTGGAAAATAAACCTTCGCAATTGTGATCAGCGTCACACTCGCCAGATTGGAAGAGGAGGAGTGGCAACTTGAATATGTAGGAAACAAGTGACTGCCGAAAGATACCAAGAACTGCCTTCAACTCATGCGAAACAAGAATGACACAAGTTCAACTTAAGAAACATCTGAATTGTTCACTCAAAACAATCCAGGGAGTTCTTCGAAGCTGTTCACTCATCCGAAAACTCCGCAATGGACATATTGATATAAATCAGATCTGCAATCCGATGCTACACATGGACTACACAACACCAGATCCCAACTGGACAGCAGGTGTCGCCCGATCGACCGCCACACTTTGATCTACCAGTACAAGCCGTGCTCATCGCACCAGCCTGCAACCCAGGTAATAGGGGGAAAAGCGAGCTGGAATCAACAAGTATTGCCAGGTCATTCAAAAACCCATAATATACTAATGGAGATTCTTAAGAACTCGCCAGGAAGACTAATGAAACAGATATTTCCGGATCAGGTGTTAAAGCTGCAATGACGATCCGTCAGATAGTTATGAAAACGCACATGTCTTTCCTATCAAGCGTACTAAAAAGTTTCATTCGTTCTTTTTCTCCTTTGAAATACAGCCTCAAGTTATCTGTGCCGTTTTTCATTAGTGAAAATCTCAGCTGAAGCCATTACTTTAGGCTATATTTTTATTGAATGTCGCGAAAGTAGATGCATCATATCATTGAAGTACCTCATTCTTGCGCCCCTTTGGAGTGATAAGTGGCCAAGGTAATTACAAAATAGGTGTTTAAAGAACTCTGCTGCACCCCGATCACCAGATGGATGGTTGTATCAGAAATGAATTTCTCAACATCCCTGCCATGAACGTATGGGTTACACTTCCGCAGATCCTGACCTACACTTATCCTATCCATGCACCACCAGTGTGCTTAGATCACAACAGTTTTACACGACATGGAACTGAGCATGCCCAAAGCAAAATCCGGGAGAAGGCGCTATCCGACATCCTCCATGCAATAAGCGCTGATTGCAGCCATTTAAAAATCGATATCGATCCCAAGGATTCAACCACCCCAATACTTTTGGTTATCCTCAGATGAGACGATACAACGAAATGCAAAAATCACCTGCGCTCGATTTTGTTTGACACACATCCACCGAGAGTTTTTCGGTTCAGACGCATAGTTGCATGCTGCCTGGGGTTTTCTCCGCTGGCCAAACGAGCGGGTTTCGGCTTAATAAATGAGCGGCTGTGGACTACTAACGACAGTACTCAAGGACAGTGTGTTGCCGACGTTCCCGCTAGAAAAGGCCACGAGGAACCGAAGACATGGCTGTTCTGCTTCACCACTAAAACAGGTCACTGAACTCTGTCTGCTCCTGAGATAAGTAGGAGCACACAAAGTGAAATTCTCAGTCATCTTGCTCTTTTGAAAGCCCTGAGAGTGTTCGATTCGTGAGGTGATGTAAACAATAACTGGGAATCCCAAAAATAAGTTTCAAGTGATAATCACCTATGGAGAATTAACAGCGCTTTAAGGCCAAATCTCCAACGTGTTAATATGTTCTCATTGGACTTCCTAGGTTGAGAACTGTCGAGCGTGCCGCGGTGCCGTAAAGAGGAACACCAATGACACTAACCACATGCTAGTGCATATCTATCCAAGATTAACCGTTCAGCGCTAAAGAAATTCCACTCAAAAGGCAGAGTGAGTACTTTTGAGATAGCAGTTCTACACAATGCCCAGACTTACATTACTGCCTTCAAACTGGTCGGTGTTACTGCCCATGTAGTTGCATGAACAGCAGTGCTAAAACCGTCTGCCAAACAAGCCGCTTTCGAACAGCTGGGAAAACATGTTGATATAAAAGTAATGGATATTAGAGGANCAAACAGTAGGGGTGTGATTCTGCACAACTCTCAAAATATCCCAAACCTGCGCTACACTCTGAGCGAATAATCACTGTGAATAATATAGACCTTAGGTTTTTGCGAGAATGCAATTAGAGGTCGCTGTTGGAGACGCAAAAAAACTTTTCCAATTCATGCGCCTCATTTCAGAATAGGTGAAACTTCACCTTTTCTGCGGGACGACTGTGAACACCTCATGAATGCCTCATGAACAAATTTCCTAGAAATGAATTGAACAATTCAACAATCTGCTGAACCTCTCTTCCTTCCAGCTCAGCTGTATAGTGCCTTTAGGTGTTATCAAATAATATGAAACCTACCTTGATACAGTACAGGTAGCAAATCGTGGAAATAGAAACTCCCTCGGCGAAGACGATGCCCGTGTGAACTCTATAAAGTACGCCTGCCAGATTAAGTAGAGCAAATGTTTTTTTCGTGGAACACCAAAGACTGGAAAACGTCTATTCTACTGTCTCTCTCTCCATACCAAAGAAAGTGACAAAATCCTCTTTATGATTTAAGAGGATATCATCCTCCTTGAAGTGACAGACAAGGTTTTAGCAATTGCTCTGCCTAGCCGCTTTATTACTGATGGCAACACAGGAGCTAGTCGTAACCAGTGTGAATTTCTTTGAACAAAGGCTTATTTTGACTAGATTTTAGACGAATCCTAAAATCTGCTACAAACTCCAGCGGCCAATTTTAGTTTGCATCATTAATGTTAGCGCTCCAATTGACTCCGAAAATAGACGGTTACGTTGAACATATTGCGCCCTGACAAGAAGTAAATAAGGTTGATGAGCTCATTAGTGTGCAACGAGAACCATGAATCTCTGATTGCGCATTAACTGATAGCCATTTTAGAAGACAGGCTTGGCCGCATCACCTGTCAAGCCAATGTCGTCGGTTTGGAGATGAACATCCTTCACGTCAACAGTTAAACATCAGCATGGGTATGCGACTTCAAGTACCAGGGTTATACCAACCAACCGACCGAGGCAGAGACGATATCTCGCTTCTCCACGACTGCGCAAAGTGAAAATCACTACTATGTCGCCAATCCTTGTGGTTGCTAAGCGAAATAAGTCTACGAGTTCATCGAGCTACCGTTCGGCCTGACTTTGGTCCACTGTCTCCGTCTCCATAACCACCCCCTATGTTTGTGCACAGAGAAGCAGCTGTTAAGACCATTGGTCTTACCGTGACCATTCACTTGCAATCGGATGATGAATTCTCCGTCAATAAACTCTGATTCAACTACTCTCTCATTCATTGACAACTAGTCCTCTCCAATGCCCACTCCGCAAACCACACCTTGCCCATTAGCACAACGACGTCATCAAAGCTCAGACTTTCCCATTTATTTCTCCTCTTCGCCTGTTTATTCTACTAAGAAACTTACTTATATGATCTTTTTTCAAAATCCAAAAAGCCAAAAATGAACTAGCCATCCTGTTCTTCCTTGCCACTGTGAAGCCTGGATACTGCGCGTCAGCGCAACGCAAAATATGGATTTTCTTATCATTGGTAAAAGTGGAATATCCGGAGGATACAATGTCAAGGCTAATTTTCCAATGAACAAGTTTCTCGACACGCCAACAACATTGAGAAATATCCGGGCGATTCCCTTCAATGGTTTAGCCATTTTCTCCGACGTACTACGAACACCAATTCAACATTATATCTTCTGCTTAAGCTACAGCTTACGACTCAAATCACCATGATCAGTGGGCAAGTAGGTTAACGTGAGTCCAGCGGAACTCGGATCTTCATGTGCAGGGACCTGGTCTCGGACCGTCAGACGTAGACAGCAGTAATGTCAGAAATTCAATTGTCTAAATTAACTTGTCCATTCGTATTAAAGTGAACATGAACACTAAATTGGTCGAAAGGCTCATTAGTTGAAAACAAATTGGTGAATGAATACTTACATAAATGTTTTTATTCACCATCCCCGATATTATTCTCTGTGATAGCATGATTCTTGGAGCATTGATGACCCAAATCGTGAGATAATTCAAATACAAATGAAGAAAATGTCATAGAATATACCGCATTTACTGCACCAGCCATAACCAAGGAAAGACGTTGGGTTTCAAGCTACCTAATGATGAGCATCAACAGCATCATCATCATCATGGTCAGAGATAAACATTCTTTTGTTTATCTAAGTCCTTTTGGATCAAATCGGCACGAAAACAAGTAATGTGTTTGTGTGTGTTTGCGTGTAAATGTTTATGCGCGTGCCTGTGCATTGGTGAGGAGGGTGGTTCTGCGTTTATTAAACATTGTACAGAACTCCATAAATCGATAGAAAATCGAGCAAGAAAGCAGATGAATCAACGGATGTTCAGTGATTGGCTTAAAAGAAAATACACAGCTGGGATCACACTATATTATCATCCTGTTGAATGTCGTCGACATACTGTTCCCTGTAATCTCCCTGTAAATCCGCTTGCTGATCAAACGCCTCGGCTACTTCGCGATCGTGTTCATCGAATTCGTGGACATCGCGATCAACCGGAACGTTTGCCTCTTCATGTTCATCCATTCGAGGAGGTGTGATCGCACCGTCGGTGGATTGGTTATCACTATGCAATGCGTCATCATGTATAGATACACGATCACTGAAACTGTAGTCCCCTCCTTCAGGGGATCTTGTTGGAATGGGGGGTGGTGATTCGCTACGATCCCGGTCACGACTGTCTTGACTGTAACGGGATGAACCCCGTGATGGAATTGATGGTGGTCGACGCGTTGAAGTCAGAAGCGGAACAGCAAATCGATCAGATGGATGAATCATCTCGGTAGCCATCATGGTGGCGGAATAGCCGGTTTGCATCATTTGTTTACGCCGGCGTTCCTTTTGCGACGGTGTTCTTTGCAGTGGATCTCCAGTCGCGACAAATTCGGCTGGCTCGGTAACCTGGCGTCGGTCTTGAACGCGCCTAGTTCGAGCAGCCACTCGTCCAGACGGAATCGTTCCCAGTTGCTCTGACGTTTTCGGTTGAGGTGTGATCGTGTTATCCGCCGGCCTGCGTTCTCCAACGCGACGTTGCCAATATGCAGCCCAAAGCTCTCCTACTGTATCACCAGCCACGAGATCACCGTAATTTTGAGCAATCAATCGGAGCACAAATACACCATCTGGGCCCAGATGGTTTTCCACAAATTGCATACAACTGTTTGGACTTTTGTTCAGTTGACGTATTGTGATGAGCTGGTGACGAATCCATGCAAAACGTCGATATCGGGTCCCGATGCGACAAAACCAAATCACAATACTGGTCAGAGTGACAAGACCAACGAAGAAAAACCAGAGCCAAAGAAAGATATAGATCTTTTCAAGAAACATGTTGATTGGTAGGACACACTGAAGTGTGTAGCTGAAAAAGGAGAGAGAGAGAGAGAGAGAGAAGAGAAAGTAGATTCAACATAACTGATGTTTGAGGCGAAACGGAAGATTCCACAAGACAACCATGAATATTTTGCTTTTTAGCCCGTAAATTGTATCCAAAGGTATCAACACCGTCCCCGAATGACAAGTGAGAAAATGGGCTAACTTTGTGGATAAGAGTGCAATAAACGGAGCCTGAGATGAAATCCGTATGCGCTGTGATTAAAACAATCACGCAATTTTAATAAAATTGATCATTGAGTAGTTTGTCTATCCTCATGTATTCGCTTCTCCTGAATTTATACATTTCTGATAAATGTTGGTACTTTCTGCCTTTCCTCGTATTGCAAGATACGCTCTACTGCAAATGAATTCAGCACGTTTCTCTTAAAGTTCACTTCACGAATCACATGAATTTTACTTCAGCACTACTGTTCTCCACTCCGCATCCACTGGATATAAAACAGAAGTGGATGCATTCGATTGTCAAGACGTTTATTCAGTTCACACTTTTCATGCGCAATTCACCGATATTTTTCAAAAGCATCCCAGCTGTGAAAGGAACAGTGGGTGCCGATGTTCTACATTCAAAAGATTTCAGGTTTCTTTCAAGTCAGACAAGAAATTTTATCCTATTTATTTCCGAAGCCACTAGTGCCTATTTTTTTCCTGCCGTGGCTTGTAAACACTGCTGAACAGCTCCTTTTTCGGAGGATCTTCAGCAGTAAGTAATATTTATATTTTTGCACTATGAGCGGAAACGCCTCCACATAAGCAGCCCCAATGAAAACCTTCAGCTTCAGTGCATTGATGCAGTTATGGTTCTTTTAGGTTTGGTCCACAGACATAACTCAGTCATTTCATCACTTCAATTTATCGTCATTTAAATTCATTTAGCATTAAGGATTAAACAACGGATGACTTGCGTGCCCAATTATTTCCTCGTTGTCTAGGTACCCTCACCCAATTGCAGTTTTTCTCATAATCCGTCCAGTGATCATAATAAGACTCTTGGACAATGAAGAAAGATGGTGACTGATAACGTAGCGATGCGAAATTCAGGTGATAATAAAGATAATGTCAAAACTATAAATGTGAATCACAAGCTGAGTACATTAAAGCCGAATAAAACTGGTGGTGAACCATGAAAATGCGATTATTCGAACGGAATCACTCTGTTTCAAGGTAACTCATCACCCGTTTCATCAGATGAATCGCAGGGGAGATCGTGTGAAGCGATTGGTCTTTGTAATAGTCACACGCGCACATCCTCATTTTCACAAGTGGTTTCATTGGACAAGTCGAGGTCAAGTACTTTCGCCGACACCGATTCGTCCCTCCTCCACGTTTCCGAAAGTGCTCCCTGACGAGAGTTTTTCCGTCATTCCGGTCAGAGCGAGTATTCGGGGTCGAATAAGGATGACCAATCACCCTCTCTCTATTCGAGAGGTCTTTTGTTTACAACCGGCCTTGCCCCCA